TCTATACTATTCAACTTTGTTCAGCACATTTTATTTCACACTAAGCTCATGAAGTTGCTTGGCCATACCTCCTTTTTCACGCTCCATCAGGGAGGCGTTTTTATGATTCTTAGAGTAATTAAATCTTTGATCCTAACTTCTTGTAATTATCATTTGTTTTTTGTATTCCTATATGTGTACACAGCCGTACCGAACAATGCACTCTAAGCATTTCCCTGGAGGATTGTGTCGTCCTAAATATCCCAGAAAATTTAAGCAACAGATTCTTATGGAGATTTATTTGTCCCCTGTTGAAATTGACCCGCGAATATCTTATTAATTACTTTACTTAGAAATGAACTTCAATCTGATGATATATCATAGGATTCATCTGAATCTAGCCCATATTCCCAAAATGTATTTCAAGTGTAAAGATTGGTTAAGAAAATTCTAAGGAATTCATGTTGTTAGCTTGATGCATACATCAACTAGTAATTTGTTGGTATCTGTTATTCATATATCTGGAATTTGTCTATAAAACGCTATTTACTACTTTTGGGTCTGATCAAATTTTATAATGCCTGAAATGCAATATAGTATTCCTTAAAGGGCGTATCTATTACTGGTGCCTTCGATCAACGAATTTCTTCATTGCTCTTTATTTCTTAGTGAAAGTAAATTCACCGTTGGTATACCGCGAAATTCTTCGAAAATCTTTTTGTCCTAAGGCGGATACGTAATTAATTGTTGGCTTTTAAATGTTGAATTTATACTTTTGTGTTATTAAATAGAATTTTCTCCCTATTTCATGCTTCGAAGCTATAAATGACGCCCTGATGTAATGATGCGCATTTTAGCTTTGATTTTATCGGCTTTCCTTTTTTTACATACGGAATATTACTGTTTTATTGCCTCTTTTCACGCATCATGCTTTTATTTATCTCCATTTTTTCTATTTCTTGTATCCTAACTCTTAATGATGCTCCAACTCGAACAGGTTCAACTGCCTCTGATTCACTTTTCTCGCCTTCTCTATGCCTCATGGTCGGGTTACCTTGATCGGAGTCTCGCTCTTTTATCCAACACTTCATCGCCTGCTATTAATTCTAACACTAACGAAGTCGGCATTGGAAGTTCTGTTTCAGACTTAAAAACTCTGGATGAAGCGACTTATTTAGCTAATCAGCTTCAGCTGCGCGCAATTTCTTGCTTCATGCGCAGCCTTGCTAATTTGGGCAATGGCCTTGCAGCACGTCTACATCCCTTTATGCTGCAAGCGTCGTCAGGGTTGAACAATTCGAATCCAATTGCGGCCAAAAGCTTTACAGAAGATTACCAATTACGTAAATCTGTGGAAGCAGAAGATGCCGCTGAGCACAACCAATATGAATATCAAAACCAGACGAAAGAGGCCGAGCCGGTTCAGGAGCCATCTAGGCTAATGCATAGGTGCACCAGAGATGATCACTTTAGCCTTGGTCCTCATGCATCGGCATCGGCTTGGGTATGTCGGCCTGACTCTCTTCATATGGTTGCTGGACTCCATCTGGATCCATTACTCTGGATTGCTGGAATTGATTTGTTTGCTGGTGGCGATAATATTACAGGTTAATATTTTATTACTTGTCTGATTTTAGTTGCTCCTAATTTATTTAAGATAAATACGCGTAGTAATTATGCGTTTTTTCGAACTTTTGAAATCTGATATGCTATAGTGTTGAAGAAAACATCTTATCAACAAATATTTTGTATTTCGATTTTTGTGTGCAGCATTATTTCCCAATCAACAGCAAATCAAACCTTGGCTCATAAGGCGGCAGATAAGTTTTTAACTAATCTTAAACACTAACTATGAAATTAGCCGAATTTAATGTTACTCGACTTTTCATTTCGATGGAAACATTGTAGATGGTAAATTCATAGATTGATCTGTCTGGAAACCAAAGGTGAATTTTTTTGGACGCATAAATCTGTACAGGACGATGAGCCGTAGGTTTTTCTTTTCAATTCTAGTCTTCCTTCAAAGGCATTTCTCATTTGGTTTCTAATTTACGAATCCCTCTCAACCAACTCTTCCTTTGATATGAAAATTCGAATCACTAAGGCATTAAGGGATTCTTGAAAATTCAGTTCATATTTATGCATATAAGCTTAATTTAGGATCCTAAGCTATACTTACAACTGCTACCACACAAAAGGCCACACCATCTTGGTCTTCATATCTTCGATTATACTTACAATTTTTTATAATTTTCTGGATATGTGAGTAAGTCAGTGTAAGGCTTAGCAAGATACATTTTTGCATTAACTATTA